CTGCAGACAGCCCAGTGATTGCGATACCTGACCTCTGTGTTATCGTTTCCCACCACTGTGAAGCCTGAAAGATGGCTCTGGTGGGAGGGGCTTACAGCCATCCTTCATTCTTTGATGGACAGCTTGATCTGATAAAGGGATTCCATTTCCTCTCAGTCACATACACTTGACACCTTAAATAAACAGACTCCTATATGACAACAAATGTTCACTAATCTTACTTACCAGTATACTTCTGTCTATATTCTACCATGTCCTTCAGTTTGTATCTGTGACTCACATACACTGTCGATCTTCCACTTCTATCCCAAAACTCATTCCAGTCTTCAGTCATTCCCTCTGTCCATTCTGTAGGGATCAGGAGAAAATAAGTCTCTCTGTGAAATACCGCATAAGTTTAATACTAACATTGCTTCAGCTGTTGTCACAGAAATGATGCCAATCTCACAAGCAGTTGTCTCGCCAACAGAAGCTCTGATTTGGTGGAAAAAAAGGATGAAAAAAGAAGACTCTGGAGAGAAAATAGAATGAAGACTCCAGATTTAAGTGTTGTCAGGGACGGCTGACATTGGGAGAGAGAACGAGAATGAGAACACTGAAGTGTCAGGGAAGGTTGAAATTGAGAGCGAGGCGAAGAATGAAAACAGTGAACTGTCTCCCCTGTGTCTAAAGGGTTGTCACAGATCGAGTGCTTCACTGCGTTTTAAGCCGCTTTCTTATAAGCCTGATATAAAGATGGTCATTCACTCTTGTGTTTTCATTACATTCCAGATTTATGAGGTCATCCTGCTGGCAAGCTGTAAATCTAAAGCAAATAGGTTTGTACTCTGCAAACTGGGTGCTGAAATGCCACCTCACAGCATGCAGACATATCCTTGATAAAAATATCTGGGTTCTCTGCGGTCTGCCGGATAAGCTTTCGACCATGAAATACCTAAACATCAAATGTGTGTGGCGGCCTGGGAAAACCCTTCATATGGTCAAATGACATTTTCTACTATATATACTGTACTTCTGCAAAATACAGATTTCCCTGAAATGAAATGTGTCTGCCTTTGTAATGTATCTCAATCACAAGTAAAGTTATAGGTACGTTTTAAAGAATTCTTACAGCATCGTCCACATCAGTCTCATCACCTGAGGTAAAAGTCACTTGTGGCATTTAAATAGAAACTTTGTTGTCTCTTCACTCATGGGAACATAATCGTTGATTAGTCTGTTTTGATGATGAGCTGAAGGTGCAGGAGCCTTGCAGACATTTTGATAGCACTTTGATATTATCAGACAGCCAAGGCAAGATTAAAGTAAGTACATCTTAAAAAATAAATCAATATGTAAAAACATTTCCATTTCACTTTTGTACAATATATTTTATGTTTTAAAGTAATAAAAAACAAGTATTTTTTGTTTGTATTTTTGGCTGTTTTCCAGAATTCAGCCACACCTGATTGGTTTTCCCAGACTGGCATACATTTCCAATTTTTTTCAATATTTCCAGAAAAAGCAAGTAGAGACTCTTGGAACTGCTCTACCCCACCGTAATCTCACAGGAAGTCAATTCTGTTGCATTACTAGCAGGAACCATCAGGTCCAGCAGCCATTAAAAGGTCCGGGGATGTTTGCGTGCTGATATATGAACAAAAGATGCTTGATTTCAGACATCTAAGAAAGGTCTGGTCTCAGCCTTAGATCCTCCACGCATGGGCTACAAAATGCCTAATTTTTTTTCTTTTACACTTTTCTAGTCCCAAGCTTCGGTATCTTTACATATGTTTACGTACTTCTGTGCACTGCAAGAGCTTTTCAAAGCAAAATATAATCAATGGACTGAAGACAAATCCACAGAATGCCAGTTAACTCGCTCTTTCTGAAAAACTAGGCGGCTTTTGGCCATGTTTATTGATGAAATACACCAGACTCCATACCAAATACTAGAAGTCTGGCTTATAAGACTAGGGAAGGTCAGGAGGAGAGTGTGCTCAGTGCTGGTTAGGGATCTCGAAGCATGACCTGCTCAATCGGAACCAAATGCTCTTCTTAATTATCTGCTTTGCTCTTTCACTCTTCTCTAGGGTTCTTCATAAGGTCCAGTTTATTGTTAGTTAAATGTCATGATTAAATTCACAACAATCACAGACTTTTGCGTGGGAAATATTATGGCAAATTCAACTTTGGTGACATGCAAATTTGCATAATTGATCAACAGCACAACTGCTTTGTTGATGTCTGAAGAAACTATTGTATTGCAGTGCAGAAGATGCTTAATTGAGAAATATTGAGTGTATATATTATTACTTTAAGCTCAGACTATACATTATTCCATAAAAGAGGCACATTCGATGCAGTCATTTGGGAGGCTTGTTTAGATGGTATAACGTTTTATATCTTTAACTTTTGTGTGTTTTTACTGTTTATGGTTGGCAAGTTAGTTTGCTTGCTGGCAATAAACTCGGACAGGTTCCCAAGCAAGGTAATTACCTACAAGCTCCTAATGTTCAAAACTTTCAACATACTATGTAGGACTTGGACTTCTGCTTCTTTTCTCCAAAGATTCTTCATCTCACCTCAATATTGCTAGCCACAGCTAAGATTTTAAGCTATTCATTTCATTCGAGATCTTGGCCTCATTTGCATTGTGCATGGTGGTTGCAGTGCAGCAAAACCGGGCCTCAGTGTGTGATCTCAGCTTTCTCAACAGTTTAACAGTTTTAATTAGTCATAATCAAATCTATTGCATCACTATTCTTAGATGCAAGAAATGATTGTGCTCAGAGAAAAGTCCAATCTCCACAAAAACGTATGATTTATAGACCTGTACCATCCTTTTGTAAAATTTTACACAATGAAATTGAGGTTTTGGTAGCCATGGAGGACCACTGGAGAAGTTCCGTTAGGGTGGATAACCAGGGGATCCAATGATGTGAGGAATAGGCCAGTTTGATCAAAATATGTAGGTGGAAAACATACATTTTGTCCTGGGCCCAGACATTCATGGTGGGCCTGTTGGTAGTGAATATAATTGTGTTTACAAAGTGATTGTAGCTTGTGAGGAAAAATGCTATGCAGTCTGTAGTCAGTATCCAATGTTAGCCAGCTTATTAGTGACATGAAATGAATGCTAACTATGTTATTAACTTAGTCAATAAACTGTTTTCTATCCATTGTTTGTCTGCATCATTTGTTATTAAGGAACATGCTTTATGGTGGTGTAAATATTCAGATATAAGAATCCAACTAATGTAGTATTGTGGAGCAGAAATATGCAAATATGTGTATGTAAATATCCTCATTTAAAAAAATAATCGCAAATAGTGACACGGTTTGGGGAAAAGTGGACTTCATTCTAAAGATGACAAGTTTAACTGTCATCTTACATATTGCAATTAAAGCATGTTAATAGTATTCAATGGCTTCTTCTCCAAGTATTGGACCATAATTTAGAGTATGTCTGTAAAATCAGATAATATGTACATTATTGCAACTTTTATCTCTATTCTTTATGGCTAAATGAAAATTAAGACCAGAATCTTTGAGTATTGTGTGTAAGGCACGTACAATGATACTGACTCTACAGTCACTGTTTTTACAAATAGTTGTTATAAAATTATTCTCTGTAAATTCTCTGTAAAAAAAAATGTTTCCTTCTAAAACTCTCACTTTCTGAAACCCCTACTGTTGTAGTACAGTGGCAAACTAGCTGATTCTCTCTAATAATCTCTGAAGTCCTAAATAATAGCAGGATAAATATAATTTTTAGTAAGTCAAGTGTCATCTCAATTTATGGCATAGCTGGCTGCTACTATTTTAAGCCGATACTAGCTTAAACATCACATGCTCTTTTGCTAGCAGAGCAAATTAGCCATATACATGCATATAAAGTCCAGAATAATACCATGTTAAATGTCATTTGTAGTAAGTCAAGTGCCTACATCTCTACTTTGCAAATCTATTTTAAGCTGCTATAGCTTTAACATCACATGCTCTTTTGGTAGCAGAGCAAATTAGCTGTATCTTCCATGCTAGTTAGCTAACAAATCGAGACCAGTGTGAGGGAAAAAATGACAGGTAAATTTTACCAAACGGTATATCTTTTTTTTTAATACAATGTAAGAGAACATTTCTGTAACTGGACAAATGTTAAAACCAGTGTAAAAGTTAAAAACCAGTGAGAAACAGACAGCAGCCTTAATTCACCTAGTTATTTTCCTCATTCTTCTCCTGTCCCATTCTCACACATACACATGAGTTCTGTTATGCCTATTGTGATCCTATTGTGGCTTGACATTTATGACAGCACTGAGATGCTGAAAACAGTTTTGCCAGTAAGTTTCCATAGCAACTGACCATTTACTATAAAAAAAAAACGCACTTCACTCACCAAACGAAAACTGGGAGTGTCTGTCTGTCTCACAGCTTCAGGCGTTTATACAGCTGTCACTTACACATTAGAGACCATTAAAAATATACACGTGTCATTTCCCTTTGTGAATAATCTGACCGTGTAATGCTTTAATGCTTTTTGTTAACTGCCTTAGGTTAAAGTGGGAATATTGTAAATGGAGGTGAATTGATGACAAGCTTTAGACTGTCGCATAGTGACTGATTTGTAAGGAATAAAACACTTGGTGTGTGCTGTTGCAGAAAAATGATCCATGAGGTTTTTTTTCATCAGCGTACCCTGAAGTGTTTTATTTCTCTTATACCGCAATTTGCCATTTGATTAATGAATGGCACATCATGCTTTTTAACCATCTATAGTTCCTGTTATCACTTATGTTATAAGTTAATAAGTTGTTGTTGTTCCTCTTTCGGCTGCTCCCGTTAGGGGTCACCACAGTGGATCATTGGTCCGCATATTTGATACAAATATACAAATATGATACAAATGCACAGTTTTTACTCTGGATGCCCTTCCTGATGCAACCCTCCCCAATTTTATCTGGGCTTGGGACCGGGGCTGGAAGTGCACTGTCTTGTGCAACCCCAGTGGCTGGGGTTACTTCCCTGGCCAGGAATCGAACCCGGGCCACGATGGTTAGAGCGCCGTGGCCTAATGACTAAACTTCCAGGGACCCTTATAAGTTAATAAGTTAATAAGTTTATAAGGCAAAAAAAAATCAATAATCCGCAAAGTCCTCTGTCCTGAAGACAGAGATGGTGGAAAAAAGCTCTCACACTGGAGACTCCTTCCATAAATGTTAAATAAACACTTCCTTACAGAAAGCTTCACCATAGAAATAATTAATAATTTTTCTTTGTTAAATAACAACACTTTTTGATCCCCTAATAATTAGTCTTTGCTGTTACAATAGAACTGATAACATACTCGAACGAGCGCATTAATATAAACCTTACACAAAATGAATCAACACCTTCTGACCAATCCGATTCAATAATTCAACAGGGCTGTGGTATTAAAGTAAGTACATACTCTCTTGCAGTGGATAAACTGCTCATTTGAAATGATTGATATGAAATGATTAATATACTTTGTTACATTCGCACGAGACCAGGATTAAAATATTTGCTCTGAAAACTTCTTTTCCCAGAACCTTTTGCATGATAATGCCAGATCAATATGAAGAGCTCAGTGCAAGATGCTCAGACAAACAGATCCTCGTTTGACATTGTGCGAGGATGTGATGTAATGCGGTATTTGCCACAAGGCTAAACATCGATTAAGTGCTGTATGGATCTTGAGAGCCTTTTAGAGTAATTACAGTGCTGGAGTTTTTAAAGAGAAAAGGAGAGAATCAAATTGCTAATACAAGTTCTGGTGAACAAGGCACATCAGTCTCTTAATACACATTAAAAGTCTGGCATAATAGATAGACACATGCTCACGCACACATTCACAGAAACACACCCTGCAAAGTCTAAGGGAAAGGAAGTGAAGGGGACGTGGAGCATCGTCTGAATAAAACTACTCTTTGAAGGCTGCAGATGGCACACATTATAGCGACAAGAGACTGACAGCCATGTGACTGCAGGCACTTCCTGTGACCCCTGACCTGTGAGGCAGCACAAATGACTTGTTGCCTTGAGTGTGACTGCAAGAAGTGTAGGCTTTCTCCTGCGATCCTTTTTGCTTTTGCACGAACCACTATCTCAGTATTTCTCACAGAATATAAAAATGTATTAAGGACACTTAATACAGCTAAAAATTATTTGTCAAAGCAGCTCATTTAGTTAATATGATATTCTTCTGCTTTATTATGTGATGATTCAATGATGATGAAAGCTGTAACTGGTTTTTTAAATAAACATATATGTAAGCAACAATAATACTGTCCAGTATTAAACAGATTAAAAGACATGTTGGTATTTAAGAAAGAAAATGTATGATTATTGATATAGTGAAGTTCCATAAGGAGATGTTAACATTTATGTAAGGAGTCTCCAGTGTCAGTGTTTTGGAACGCTTTGCAGTTTTTTTGTAACGTTACAGGCTGCGGGTTTTTTTTTGTTTTTTTTTTTTTGTCTTATTAAGTTCAAGAGAGAAATAAGAGAGGCTGGTGAGGGAACAGTTCTTTATAGCTGCTATAACATAAGTGATAACAGGAAGTAACATGTTTCACCTGATGTTCCACAACATAAAATGTAACTATAAATGATAAAATGTTACATGATTTACATCAAGATTTTTAGGTTTGTTAAACAAAATGGCAGCAAAACAGTAGTGGTACACAAAAAATTACAGATGTACAAAATTAATATGAAAAAATATATTTAAAAAATATTTTTAAAAAAAGTTTGTAAAGTCCAACCAACTGCTGTTTCTATAAGATAAAATAAGATACAGAAATACGTAATCGTGATATCAGTATTGTATATATTGCTCTTTTTTAAACTGAAATTAAACTTTAAACATTAAACATTTTTTCTCTGGCACTAAGTAGCTTGTGTGTGTGTGCGTGTGTTTCTGTGTGTGTGTTAGGTGTCGTCAAGTATTGGACAGCTGGTATTAGTTCTCATGCTGGTTGAGAGATAAGAGTGCATTTACAAGCAGAAGTGTGTTTACTGGTTATTCTGCCACACTGCATTCCCACGTCTATCTCAGGTAGCGCCAGGCCGGATCTACAGCCTGCACTATCACACACCTGCCCACTGTACACACACCCATGGGGCCTGTGGGACACTTTTAACCTTGACGACTGGCGAGAGCATACTCAACGATTAAACACAGACAGTTTTTCTGCCCTTGCTTTGTCTCTCTCTCTCTCTCTCTCTCTCTCTCTCTCTCTTTCTCTCTCTCTCTGTGTGGTATGTGTACACAGTGGTGTCCGATTGATTCCTCTTCTTCTCTTTTGTGTCGAGCAGCTGCTCTTCAAAGCACTGTGGAACAGAAAGGCATCGGGTGTGTTTGTGTGTGTGGGTGTGTGAGAGGGATAGACAGAGAGAGAGAGAGAGAGAGAATACATGGCAGAGCTGTCTGTGTCATTTTTATAGCTCAGTGAGAGGGAGTGGAAACAGATCTGTGTACCACTTTCCTGCGTGATGCCCCCTGCTGGAGTGGCATCACGTCAAGTGCATATCCTAGTATATGTTGTAGAAAGATATGGCATGCTGCTCTAATGTAGCTACAGCAAAACATTTTTCAAAATAGATTTGAAAAATGATGTTATTACACTGCTGGACATGTAGTAATCTCTTAAACTACACTAACCACTAGCAAGGGTTGTACATTACCATTGTTAAATTTTGAATCAAGTAGTTAAACTATTTTAGTGATGGAATACTACATTGTTTCATTTTATTTTTAAAGCTGCATATTGTAGTTTCTGGTTCTGTAATAATAATAATACAGTTTTAAAGATACTTAACAAAAACCTGTGATTTGTAATATTGACATTAAATGAGCTGCTCTAATTTCTTTATTTTAGATTCTTTTTTTATATTTTTGAAGCCCAGAAACAAGCTCCACCCCCACAGTACAGAGCTGCTCAGTTGTGCTCCTTTTCCTTAAAAGGCAATGCATGAGTTGTAGTTTTAGTATAGAGGATGGGGTTGGTCAGGTGGAAAGCCACTGAAAATTACAAACTGCTCCTTTAATGTACTATATATATATATATATATATATATATATATATATATATATATATATATATATATATATATATATATATATATATATATATAAAGCATTGATGCCCTTTTTGCATGTATATATCCCTATGTTATATATTTCTTGCCAGTTTGCTGAAAGCACATTTCACTCAGTGTTACTGGCTGCTAACGAGTTCTGACAATGACCTGAGGAAAATATCGTTTTCTCTGCACTTCTGTGTATTCCTATTTTGCCATTATCCCAGACTCTGTGAAATAAATATAAATGAATGAGCACCAGAACCAGATTCATCTCCCAGTTTACATCTGCAAACTTTGCTATTTCTAGTAGTGTCATCATATCAGAGGGCCCTGAGCAGACACCATGGCAGTACTGATCAAATGTGTTGAAACTGGTAAAGACAAGAGAAACAGAGCTGGTGTCTTTGCACATTTCACTTTTAGGGAAAAAGTCAGCTTTACAGCTGCATAGTCTAAAGCTCCGTAGTAGTGATGCAGAGTCAGTCTTTAAGTACAACTCGTCAAATGTTTAGCTAGCTTTGTAAAAAAATAAATAAATAAAATAACCCGCAGAATCTGATCTTGTATTAATATGCTGGTGACATGCTGCATGCTTGCAGTGGTGTAGTCAGGAATTAATAAAATCATGATGTGAGTAGATGTGATCTGTACAGTTAAAGTGATAAGAGCAACATTCTCAGGTTGGATTTGGTTTAATTATTTATGGCAGTCTATGACATTTCCACTGAAAATTATTAAAATAACATGCTAGTAATAGGGAAATAACATCTTGCCTTAAAGAGCTAGAATTACACTTATTTTTCTTCTCTTGCAGTAGACTTCCAGTACTTCATCAGCTGTCACCTCGATATCCCTGAGCTCAGAGAGTAGCTGGCTGACTAGTAGCTTCTGAAAAAGAAACAGGACATGCATGATCCTGATCAGTTCATCCTGTTTCTCACCATAGTAGCAATAAAATGTGATTAAAGAAACTAATGGAGATGTTTGTTTGATATCTAGGGAGGTTAAATATGACTTCATTTACCTTTTATGAACATGGGTATTCTGTATTCAGTAACAAAACATTATTTAACGTATATAATCATTTACACTGTATGTCATGAAATATTTTCCCATATTTCCCCATATCTACTGATCTCTACATCTCTGGGTACATGGGTTTACCCCCAAAAGTGTTTGTGTAAAGGTATCACATGCTGCTCAGCAACAAAACATAGATTACACATTAGTGCTGAAAGAACTCTGAAAAATGGCTGGGAAAATATTGGAGGAAACACAAAACTTCTCTTTCAGTACTGTGGCTCAACCCATGTATCATGAGGAATATAACCAGGTTATTGGCAAAAAATTAAACAAAGCCGAATTTTAACCGTCTCCTGTGAATGCAGTTCCAACTGAGGGGGACAGTTGTTGGGATCTGTGCTGTCATAATGACCTTCCATGTATTTGTGTTTGCTCTGCAGTCCAGTTCGAGGGGGTGGAGAAAGGCAGGATGTCTCCGACGAAAGACGGGAAGTCAAGGCCACCCCAGCGCCACTCCAGCGGCTGCCTGGTCAACATGAAGATGAGTTCGGTGGAGCAGTGTATGCCGACACTGGGCGAGCGCATCGACCCCACCATGCCACTGGAGAGCCAGTTGTGAGTGTGTGAGAGTTAAAGGCAAAATTCATGCACTGTTCTGAGAAAGTTCTCATGACAATAAACTGCCAGAAGAAAGTGCATTTCCAATGAGGATCTGAAATATTAAGGACTAAAGGTGAATGAGAACTACAGCAGAAGTGATGCAAAATATATAGGACTATTTTAGGAGTTATGGGCAAATCAACTTTCTAACCTGTTTACACATCAGATTAAAAAATATAAATTATAATAATGCATTTATAATCAATTATAAAATGATAAAATTATATATTTTAACATTGCCTTTTAAATCAGTGCATCCAAATTGTCCGATCATTACAGCTGTATATTCGACGCACACTTC